TCGATGCCGCTCCATCGCTTGACATCCGTCAGGCTCGCGTGCGAGTGCTCCATCGTCGCCACGCGGTCCGTCAACACACACTTGAGCTGCGACGACAACGTCGACGCGTCGTCGAAGCGGACGCGGCAGGGCACCGTGCTGATCAGCGGACCCATGATCCTACAACCATCGTCAGACACACGCCAACACGAAAAGCCACGCACCTGTCCGCGTCCTTGACCGCAATGTCCCGGTTCGCCAACACCTCGCCAAACACCACGTCGTCCTGACGCGTGTACTTGCGCAGCGTCGCCGCCCACGCCAGCTTGGTCAAGTCCGCCACCGTCACACCGCACCGCTGCGCCGCCTTGGTCAAGTCCGCCATCGACACCTTGCACACCGTCGACAGCGGCCGCGCCTCGCCCGCCTCCGGCGACAAGTCCACCAACGACCCGATCGGCGACGGCACCGCCCCGTCCAAGTACGACCGCCAGTACGCTTCCGTCGCTCCCGCGTCCTGCGCCTCGATGTAGTCCACCACGTTGCAGAAACTCGGTCGGCTCGGCACGGCCACGCCGCTGTACGCGTCCATCAGGTCGCCCATCAGCATCGACAAGGACCACCCGTCGTACAGCGCGTGGTGGATCGTCAGCACGGCGAACGAGCCGTCCTCGGCCTCCACCAGCGCCAGGCGCACGAAGAACTTGTCGCCCACCGCGAATCCGCGAGCGTAGTCTTGTGCCAAGAACGCGTCCAGGCTCGACACGCGCACCTCCGCCACCTCCACGTCGGCCGCGTCCTCACGAATCACTTGAAAGATGCCGCGCGCCGTCGTCACAAACGTCGACCGCAACACGTCGTTCTGCTGCACCACCGACCGGAACGCCGAGCTCAGCTTCGCCCCGACGCCCCCCGTCCGCAGGCGCATCGGCATCTGCGCCACGTACGCGCCGCGCGCATTCACCGTCGCGTAGATCATACCGCCTTGCAGCGGCGTCACCGGGTACACCACGTACTTCGTCAGCGCCAGCGACGCGGCCCACTCCCCCGCCACCATCGCTGTCACCTCGTCCGGCAGCGACACGCGAGGGTACGACACGTCCGCCGACAAACCGCTCACTGCCGCCGACGCCACGCGGGACAACACCAACCCCTTCATGAACGCGGCCGCCGTGATGCTCAAACCCACTTGCTTGCACGCGGCCACCACCCGGATCACAGAGATCGAGTCGCCGCCCAGCGCGAAGAACGACGTGTTCTTCCCGATCACGCCCACGTCCACGTCCAGCACGCTCGCCCACACGCCGGCCATCTTCACCTCGGCCTCGCTCGTCAGCGCACGCACGTCTTCCTTCACGTCCAGGCACGCCAGGGCCGTCTTGTCAATCTTCCCGTTCGCGTTCGTCGGCAGCGCTTCCAGCGCCACCCACGCCGCCGGCACCATGTACACCGGCAGCAGGTCCGCCACCAGCCTCTGCAGCGCTTCCGCGTCCACGTCCGCCGGCGCGTAATACCCCACCAAGTGCGTCTTGTCCTTCACCAGCGCCGCGGCCGACACCACCCGCGGGTGCTGCATCATCGCCTCCGCCACCTCGTCCAGCTCGACGCGGTACCCCTTCAGCTTCACTTGGCTGTCCAGTCGACCCAGGATCTCAAACTCTCCGCTCGGCAGCAAACGTCCCAGGTCTCCTGTTCGGAACATCAGGGACCCCCCTGTCGTGCTGAACGGGTCCGTGAAAAAGTGGTCCGCAGTCTGCTCGGGCAAGTTGATGTAGCCGGGCGACACACCGATACCGCCCAAGTACACTTCTCCCACCACGCCCACAGGAACCATCCGCTTCGCACTGTCCAGAATGTACGAGTTGATATTCTTGGTCGGCTTGCCGATGGAGATTTGACTACTTGTCGTCAGTTGCACCGAGTGCGTCGTGCTGGAACACTCCGACGGCCCGTACGTGTTGAGCAGCGTGACGGCTGAGCACCACAAGTCCTTCAGCGACGCAGGCACAGCCTCGCCGCCCACGTGCACGTACTGCAAGTTCGGAAACTGCTGCGGGTCGCCCAACAAAGACAGCCCCGTCGACGTGATCGCCAGCACATCCACAGTCCGCAACGCGCGCTCCAAGTCGTCGCTGCGCAGCACCAGCGTCGCGCCGTTGCACAGAGTCTTCCAGATCTCCTCCAGGCACCAATCGAACCCGATCGACAACACCTCCATCACGCGCATGCCCACACAGTACGCCGGCTCACAGAACGGAAAACACACCAGGTTCACCGCACCAGCGTGCAGCGTCGGGACACCTTTCGGCTTCCCTGTCGACCCCGACGTGTATACGACGTACGCTTCGTCCCACCGAGTCGCCTGGTGCTGTGCACTCGGCACAAAGTCGGCCGCCTTGGCTCCCAGCTGATCGGACGACACAAACACCATCTTCGTCACCGCCTTCAACTTCTCCAGCTGCGTCGTTAAATTCGTCGTGGAAATCGCAACGCTCGCACTCGCATCACGAATCATGTACGACAATCGTTCGATTGGGAACGCCGCGTCGAACGGAAGCATCGCGGCGCCCACCTTGAGGACAGCGAGCAGCCCGATCGGGAACTCCAAGCACCGCTCCATGATCACAGCCACGCGCGAGCCGACACCCACTCCCAGAGAAGCCAAGTCCACCGCCAGCGCGTTCGCCTGCGCATTTAGCTCGCCGTACGACAGCCACTGGTCGTCAAACTCGATCGCTCGAACGTCGGGGTGCTCCTTCGCGCGCGCCTCGAACCCGTGGTGCAACAACTCGTACGGCAACGGTACCACGGGACCAAAGCTCGAGTTCTGAATGAGGGTAGCTTCGCGGGATGATGGTCGATCCAGCACGGAGATGACCATTGAATATTCTTCCTGGCTTTGAAGACGAGTCATGATATCGAGAAACCGGTGTGACAAGAAGTCGATGCAAGCAGTGTCAACTTGGCTCGTTTGATGTGTGACCTCGATTCGGTATTGATCGCCACTGTCGTTGTATACTGCCATGGCGATGCTCGAGTCGGAAAACTCCCTGCCTTCCCTGAAATCAAGGGTGAAGGTGGCATTTCCGTCAATGCCAGTGTCATGTGTAGATGCCGCCGCATAGTTGCCAAACATAAATAGTGTGTCGAAAAACTTGCCTTCATGTGCAGTCCATCGCTTGATTTCGGTCAAGCTGGAGTGAGAAAACTGTGCTGATTCCAGTGCGGACAAGTGGACGCTGCGCACAAGGTCGTCCGTCGTCATAGTCGGTGCAGCGTGCACCAAGACCGGAATTGTGTTGATCGTAACGCCAACGAGCCTACTCAAGCACCATCATCAGCGACTGCAGCCAGGATATGGATATCGTGTGTACGTTTCAATGCCAGGCATGTCAATGTCACGTCCGGACACGACATTGCCAAACACAACGTAGTCGTGTCGCGTAAACTGTTGTATGGCAATTGCCCACGCCGCTTGAAAGACTGAACTGGGGGTGACTTGCAGTTTCGAGCAGACGCGGTGGATGTGCGGTAGCAAGAGGGAGTAGTTTGCCATCGAGTACGGCTCGCCGACAAGTCGAGTGTGGAGTGGTTTCGGCAGGGAAAGTCGAGTTGTGCTGTCCAAATGTTTCAACTTCGTCCGCCAAAACGTCTCCGCAGGATGTTCATCTTGCATGGCCAGCCAGTTCAGGTAGTCCTTGAACGATGTAGTCGGGTGTTTCAACGTTTGCCCAGCACATATCCTCCGTAATGAATCGACGAGAAGCGTTCCCGACCATCCGTCCATCACTGAATGATGTGTAGTCCACATTACTCGATACCTTGAATCTACATGAGAGCAATCAGCGTCCACCGATGACCGGACCAACGACGCACCTGACACTTGCACAACTGTGAAGCGGTGGAAAGATTTGCTTGCTAACGAAAACCCCCGCGCTCGATCGGCCAGCCAAAAGGCGTGCGTCAATGCGTCTAATTCGTCGAGTGCCCAAACATCGTCCAACAAGGTCCACGCGGAATAGTCGATTTTCGTCACAGCTTGGAACAGCCCACAAGGAGTTGACGCAAATACTGTCCGGAGTAGAGCTTCGTGGTCAGCAAGTTGATGCCAGCACGATTCTAGCGTCGCGATGTCGAGGTCTCCTCGGACGTCAAATGTTGACTGGAGAACATATTCGGAAGGATCTTGGAGCGTCGCGAAGAGCATTCCCGACTGCAACGGCGTCACGGGATACATGTCTTCGACATCCGTAGGACGCAAACCCAATGTGGCATAGAGTTCCGTTTCCACGGCTTCCACGACATCGGTCGTGCCGAGCAATGGGACGTCGGACAACGTGTGCCCGCCAAACGTTTGCGGATCCAAGCAGTGACTCACGATGACGTTCATCCACTTGCACCACAGGACGACCCATTCGATTGTTTGGTCGTGGGAGAGCTGCCACTCTTGGACAGACACGTCCAACACCAACTGTGACCGTTCGTGGTGCAAGTAAATGTTTCCCGGAATGTAATCCATCTCGTCATCGCCCACGACATCCGATACACTTTGAATGCACTCAAACAGTCCACTTGATGCGTTCAGCTCTTGGAAACGACCAGCGTAGTTGAACGCTAGGTTGTGGTTCTTGTGGGACTTGATGGATTCCGTGGAGGCAGAAGTTGGGGCCAAATACTTGATCGCGCCGTACGATAGACCGCCGTGCGGCACACCGCGAAGTTTGTTCTTCACTTGCCGAATGAGGTGTCCGAGGTCTTTTGTAGCCGAGAACACAACCGGATACAGACTTGTGAACCACCCGACGGTACTGGACACATCGATCTCGGGATCCCACGGCTCTCGGCCATGTCCTTCCATCATAAGCAGCAGCTTGTAACCTTCCCCAGTATGGAGGAGTTCGGCGTATGCGGTAGTGAGTGCAGCGAGGGCCAATTCTTGGATATTGGTGCCGTAGATTGCATTGGCAGCATCCAGTTTCGATGTTACTTCGTCGCTCAGCACGCCTTGCGCTTGAATTTTTGTCCTACGGGTGAACGGTTTAGTCGGGTATGCAGGCATCCTGGGTGAATCACCCAAGGGTTGCTGGGGGCGAAATGTCGTCGGCCATATAGGCGGCCCACACACTTGGATCCCAAAGCGGAGCTTGAGCTGTCATTCGTCTCGACCACTCTTGAAAAGACATCGTTTTACGACCGAGGGACTGTTTGGCCAACAGCATCTCCAAGTCGTCAAGAATTATTCGATACGACACGAGATCCACAACAGTGTGGTGGATGGCAAAGTGGACGTATTGGTTTTGGTTGGGCAGCACAAACACAGTGACGGCGTAAACGGGGCCTTGGATCAAGTGCAAGGACCTCTCCTTGGCCGAAATGGCATCGTTCAGGCATGCCATCGAGTCGACAGGAACGAACTCGACATTCACGTTTTGTGACGGGTCGGATATGTGCTGCGACCACGTTTTGTTCGAGTCCACAGCAAACCGAGCGCGGAGCATGTCATGGTGCTCGACCAAACGCGCGACCGCCGGAACAAGTTCGGAAGGATGCAACGTTCGGCTGGGCCTTAGGACTGTCGATTGGTTCCAAAAATGCACGTTCTTCCACACATGGTTGAAATTCAAGTGCTGGACTGGGGTCAACAAGACATTTCCAAACACTGTTTCGCTCTCGGACTTGGTCAACGTGTGGCTGACTTGTACTTGTACGGACGCAGCCATCTTGGACAGGCGAGGGTTTTTCAAGACGGCGGACGTGGAAAGGACAAGGCCAACCTCTTTACCCTTGGACACCAGACGAATGGCGGACACGGAATCGCCCCCCAGGGAGAAAAACGACGTGTTTCGGCCAATGTCGTGCAGTTTCACGCCCAACACTTGTGCCCAAAGCGATGCCAGTCGTCGTTCGTTTTCCGTCTCGAGTGGGTCGACGGCCGCCACGACTTCCATGGATTCCAGTGCTTTTTTGTCCGTTTTGCCGTTGGCGTTTTGGGGCATCATGTCAAGGCCGACCCATATCGCTGGCACCATGTACATGGGCAGCTGAGCAGCAACAACTTCGTGCAATGTCTCCGGGTTTACATCCGACGGCGTGAAGAACCCAACTAAGTGTGTCTTGTCCTTGACGATGGCAGCAGCAGCAACAACTTTGGGGTGCTCGATCATGGCTTGTGCCACTTCGTCCAACTCAATGCGGTAGCCCTTGACCTTAACTTGGCTGTCCTCGCGACCTAGAATCTCAAAAGAGCCGTCCACGAGCTGTCGACAAAAGTCTCCCGTCCGGAACATCGTGCGACACGACGAGCTTTGCACAAACGGATCCGGCAGAAAGCGTTGGGAGGTTTGGTCGGGCAGGTTGATATACCCAGGAGACACCCCGTGACCACCCAAGTACAATTCACCCACGTGACCGATCGGAACCGGTCGTTGCTGTTCATCCAGGACGTATGCACTCACGTTCTGTAGTGGCTTGCCGATCGTGATGGGGACGCCCAAGGTAAGTTCTCCAAAGTGAGTCGTGATGGCGCATTCCGTGGGGCCATAACAATTGAACAGGCGAACGGCGGGGCTCCATAAATCACGCAGTGCTGCATGAAGGGCTTCACCTCCCACCAGCACCGACTTCAGGTTGGGAAATTTGCTCGGTTCCCCCATCAGCGACAGAGCAGTCGCCGTACACATCACGATATCCACAGTCGGCATTACCTTGAGCATGTCGTCTGTTCGAAACACCAGTGTCGCACCTACGGACAACGTGGTCCAGATTTCCCATTGGCACACGTCGAACCCAATCGCCATGAATTGCATCACGCGAGTGCCTTGGACAATACCAACATGCGGTGCATGAAATGATGTCACGTTCACCGCACCGACATGCAAAATCGGCACGCCTTTTGGCTTGCCCGTCGAGCCAGACGTGTATACAACGTACGCTTCGTCGTTGCGGCTGGCCTTGGCCTTGGCTATCGGCACGGCAGGCGAAGCAGCAAGATCGTCCGACTTGATGTATACGACTGGAATCGATGCCAAATCGAGCGCCTGTATTTGTCCGCGAAATTTTTCCGTGGTGATGATCGCACACGCTTTGGAATCGGAGAGCATGAAAGCCACGCGTCCTATGGGAAACGTTGCGTCGACCGGCATGAAGGCTGCGCCAGCTTTGAGTGACGCCAAGAGAGCAATGGGGAATTCGAGGCAGCGATCTAAGATGACAGCCACGCGTGAGCCACGACCGATGCCGAGCGTCGTCAAGTGGCAAGCCAACGTGTCGGATTGGGAATTCAGGTCGCCATACGACAGCCAAGCGTTGTCATGTTCAATCGCTTTCAGATGCGGGTGAGAACTGGCACGAGCTTCAAAAGCTTGATGGAGGAGGTCAAACGGTAACGGCGCCCGCGCGCCGTACGACACGGACGGGCCGAGGACCTCGAGATTCGTTCGTGGCATTTCCTCCAGCAGCAATGAATTGTGTCGCCCTGTGGAAGTTCCTTATCGTGGGGTCCTAACCAGCCAAATCAGTTCTTGAAACCAGGCTCGTTGCAAAATGTACTAGAACTCAGTATGATGTCGTCCTAATCTTAGGACTTCTCCTTCTTTCGGCCCAAACAACTCGAATGTACAATATGACGGTCATTACCAACATGACCTCGGGCGTCGCTCGTTTGTGACTTGAAGTACCGGGCAACGATGGCGAGTCGTACGTACACTTGTTCATTGCCCAGACAGTCCTTGTTCTTGAGCGCTACAGGACCGCACTGGCGACCACGGCAGAGGAGAGGTGAGGCCGTCACGGAGGCACATCTTCACAAGAGAATGCACGACGCGCACGACGAAATCCGCCATCATTTGATCTTGATGTTCCAACCGCGGAATGTGGTTCTAAAACGCTTGGCCAAAGAAAGCGGAGAGAGAAAACGTTCGAAGAGGAAGAGGAACAGAGCGCTGGACGGGGCGGCGAAGCAACATTCTAGTTTCAAGTAGCCTCTGTCTTTTTATATTGCGGACTTACCTTATGCATTTTCAAAGGTTTCTCACCCAATTGGAGTTGACGGCAAGGTTGAATCGAGCGACAACTTCGATCCGCTGTCGATGCAGGATCAACCACCGGCGGTCAACGAGAATGTCCACCCGCTCGATGGAGCCGCGGTGCTTGCAAAGGCAACGTTTGCTTGGGCCAGTCCACTTGTCGCGCTTGGCAATGTTCGCCAGCTTGCCCCAGTGGACATGTGGAGCCTCCAGGACAATCACAAAGTTACGCCGTGCGTGGTCCGCTTCAATGCCAAGTACAGTCAAGGCAGCCGAGGTTTGCTGCGTTCGTTCTTTTCCATTTACGGTTTTCGCCTCGTCGTGGTGGCTCTGATGCAGCTCGCGTCCGCTGCTTGCGAATTGTACGGACCTGCATTCGTCCTGCCACACTTGATCAAACTTGTGGGGTCCAGTCCCATGGACTGGATGCAAGGTGTGTGGCTGTCCGTGTCGCTCTTCCTCGTGCAAGTGTTGAGTTCAGTCCTTCGAGTCCATGGCACGTTTATCAACGAAGTTATTGGCATTCAATTCACAGCGTGCTTGCGTGCGATGTTGTTTCAAAAGGCGCTCAACCTCAGCGCGGTGTCCAAGAAACACAAGTCGGCCGGTGACATCGCAAACATCTTTACGGTCGACGTTGTCGATGTGATGGGACTTCCTGTCCATGTCAACATGATGTGGATATGCCCCCTTCAAATTGGCATGACCTTGTACTTCATCCACCGCCAAGTCGGGTGGGCCATATGGGTTGGCTTCGGAGCCCTCATAGGAATCTTGGCGCTGACTGGTTTAGCTGGTGTGTGTGTCGCAATGGCCGACGCTCGTGTCCTCGCAGCCAAGGACAACCGCATGAAGCTCGTCCACGAATTGTTTGGGGCCATTCAGAGTGTCAAGTTCAACGCGTGGGAAGATGAAATGTCGGCAAAAGTTATTGCCCTACGCAACAAAGAGGTGGCCGAGATTTGGTCGTTCATCAAGGCCCTGCTTGCCCTCGTTACGTCCATGTCGATCGCTCCCGTCATTGTCACTGTCGTTGTATTTGCAACTTACGCGATGTGGATGGACCGCGAGCTGACGGTGTCGGTAGTCTTTACAACGCTGGCCTTGTTCAAGACGCTCGAGGAATCGTTTGCCGTGCTGCCTGTCAGTGTCGTAGGAGCAATCAGTGCCTTCGTATCCGCTGGGCGAATCGATCACGTACTCCGCCTGCCCGAGTGCGAACTTTCCAACGTCACAACGCATGACGACGACAAAGCCAAAGCAACGTTTGGGCCGGACAACATCGTCGTGTCCATAACGGATGGCTCATTTGTGTGGGGAGATGTCAGAGATGCCACGACGCCGCTCTTCCAACACCTCGATTGGACTGTGAAACATGGCGAACTTGTGGTCGTTCATGGTGCCGTCGGTGCTGGCAAGTCGTCTCTGTGCTCTGTCTTGTTAGGGGAAATGACCAAACTGAGTGGGTCCGTCTTTGTGGGTGGAAGTATTGCGTACGTTGCCCAGCAACCGTGGATTCTCAATGCGTCCATTCGAGACAACATCCTGTTTGGTAAACCGTATGATCGCGCCAAGTACAGCAAAGTCCTCGATGCGTGCGCGTTAACGACGGACATTCAGGCGTTGCCGTCCGCAGACCACACGGAAATTGGCCTCAAGGGGGTGAACTTGAGTGGCGGCCAGCGCGCCCGTGTCAGCTTGGCTCGTGCTTGCTACGCGGACGCAGACGTGTACATTTTAGATGCACCGCTCGCCGCCGTGGACGCCCTCGTGTCAAACGAAATCTTCACAAGGTGTTTCCGCGGCCTCCTTCGGCTAAAAACTGTTATTTTGGTCTCTCACAGCCCCGACATCATCACATCTGCCCACGTTGACCGTGCATTTCTCCTCCAGGACGGCCGCCTTCTCGAGGCAAAGTCCACGCACCAAGACCGCGACAACATGTCTCCATATCCGTCTCCGCTACCAGCCAAACGTGGTTTCTGGGAAGCCCCGTCCTCGCGACAACTTAGCAACGACGAAGCAAGTGACAGCATTGAAAGCTACCCCCACGACGACTTGTTCCTTGTCACCCCGACGAATCGATCGCCGATCAGATTTTACAACAGTGCAAAGGTATTCACTCCCAAGACCAAGCCATCCAGCGCCAACACTTCTGGGACACTCATCGTCGACGAGAGCCGCGCAGACGGCCGAGTATCACGTGCAGTCGTTCTGGCATACTTGTCCAGCTTGGGCGGCTACGGAGCGTTCGCCATTGTGGTCTGGACGACGCTGGTCACGGAAACTGTCCGATTGGCGTGTGATCTGTGGCTGTCGTATTGGGGCAACCAAGCGTCGTCAATCACAGCACACCATCGACACGACGTGAACTACGACTACCTGACCGTGTACACGATCTTGGTGCTGGCTATGTGCGTGCTCACGATCGCGCAAGTCGGTATCGTCATGATGTTTGGACTTCGCGGGTCCAAGAAGATGTTTGAAGCTATGCTGGCCAGTCTCGTCCGCGCTCCCATGCGATTCTTCGACACGAACCCGATCGGTCGCATCTTGAATCGCTGTGGCGATGACGTGTTTCAGTGCGATATTGAAATTCCACTCGCGATGTCATCCATCTTGACGGAATCCGCCAGTGCCTTCAGCAAGATCCTCACGAGTGTGTTTGTGATCCAGTGGATGGGGTTGCTCCTGCCGCCTCTCATGTTTGGTTACTATAAACTTGGGGCGTATTTTCTCGCGCCGCTACGCGATGTCAATCGGATCAAGAAAATTACGCTGTCGCCGCTTCTAAGTCTTGTCAGCGAAGCCGTCGACGGTGCCGTGACGATTCGTGCGTTTGGCGATCGATACCGCCGACGGTTCTGCCGCATGCACGACGCTGCCATCGACACGTACTCTGCCACGTGCTTTGCCACCGTCGCCGTAAACCAATGGTACAGCTTACGAATCCAGTGCGTGAGCAATGCCGTCGTGCTCGCGATTCTGCTCGGATGTGTTGTGTGCCACTCGAACATGTCGGCGGGCTTGCTCGCGCTTGTCATCACGTACGGTTTAAACCTGCCCGTGAACTTGGCGAACCTTGTCAATATGTGGGCGAGCCTGGAAACGTCGTTGATTGCACCGGAGAGACTCCATGAGTACGCTAACCTGGAGAAGGAAGGTTCCACGAAAGAAATAGCTCTCGATGCCGTGCCGTGGCCGACCCAAGGACACATTGTGTTTGATCGAGTGAGCTTTCAGTACAAGATGCACGACCCGCTTGTACTGCAAAACGTGTGCGCCACCATCACGGGAGGCGAAAAGGTCGGTGTTGTCGGACGGACTGGCGCGGGCAAGTCCAGCTTGACCATGGCTCTGTTTCGAATCAACGAACTCGCTTTCGGGCAAATCAAGATAGATGGGGTCGACACAGCGACCCTGCCGCTGCGGCAACTCCGACGGAGTCTTGCCATCATTCCCCAAAATCCTGTTCTCTTCAAGGGATCGCTGCGAACAAACCTCGACCCCCTCGACGTGTACTCGGACGAGCAGTTGTGGGCTGCCCTGCATAAAGTGAATCTCATGCCCCGCATCACTGCGACGTCGGACGCCAAGTTGGAACAATCCGTGGACGAAAACGGCGACAACTTTAGTGTCGGCGAACGACAGATGCTGTGCATGGCGCGTGCCCTGCTTCGCCAGGCCAGGATTGTCGTGCTGGACGAAGCCACAGCTGCAGTCGACCAAACGACGGACGAAATGCTGCAGAAGATAATCCGAGCAGAGTTTGCATCGTCGACGCTCATCACGATTGCCCATCGCCTCGGAACGGTCTTGGACTACGACCGCATCCTCGTCCTAGAAAATGGCACATTGGTTCAAAACGACTCGCCCACTGCTCTCCTCGCCGATGCAACCGGCGCATTTTACGAGCTGGCAGTTGAAGGCGGCTACGTTGGCGCGAGCCAGATAAATACTCGGCATTAACTCAACGAGCACTTATCTTGGTGGTGTTTCTGCCTCCTGTTGTGTAGTGGGCTTCAGAACTTGACCATCCTGTGGGCACACTGCGTGTCGAAGCGGGCTACTGAGCGTCGACACAGCAAACAATCGCAGCATCGTCGCGCATCTTGCCCTACTCCCGTGGCGCGTTGAACAGTGTATCAAAATGTCGTAGTCGCTAGGACGGAACGCTCTTGGCAAAGGAGCATCTACGAGTCGTCGCCCACAACAGATTGCCTTTACTGGACGTCGAAACAAGTCACCCTTCTTTCCAAATCAGCATGTTGGTCTCCAACGACTGGAACAGTGCCATGAATGGATTCGCTGCGGTTGTGTAGTTGGTTTGTCTAGCTGAACCAGCTCCAGATCGACTGCGCAATAATGCAAGCTATCGGCGGCGACGATCTGAATGCCATTCCCTCCATGTTCGATCCAAGGACACAAAGGCATCATGTCCACTTGGTTGAAGCGCTTCTAAGTTTAGCTTATACGGGAGACAGACAGCTACAAAAAGTCCTTGGTGAGGCGGTACACGATCGAGTGTTCGACGAGCCACTTGTGTTTCTTCATGTTCACGCGAGACCCTACGACGGGAATCGTGCGTAGGAAGAGCGACATGCTGAACACAAGTTGGACACACGTGAGGCACCGCCCCCATTTGTGGTACGACTTTTCCAACCGTGCCGAACAAGACGAAAAGAAGCACAGCATGATGCACATGCCCATGCCAACGCACTGCAGCACACTCGTGGGAAGGACGAGGCCGGCGCCAATAAGGGCAAGTGTCACTGACATAGTCGCGACCCAGCTCCACATGCCAGCGCTTGACACGGCCAGCATGCCAGACTCGGTCGCATGCACGAAAGCACGCAACCAAAGCTCTGTGTATAGCAGGGCAAATGCAATCGGTTTCCAGATGACGACGACCGTCAGAACAAAGAAAAAGTCGAGCACATGCGACTCCATCATTTTGTAGCCCAGGAAACGGCCAAGCTTCGTCTGGTAAATGGAGCTTGCTTCCAATGGTGTGGGGGATACGTGAGTCTTGGTCGTGTAGCCATTTTTCAACGCCCACACAAAGGCGTCGTGCTTGCCGAGCTCGTACAGCCATTGAATGCGCTCGGGCTCAGGTGGGTACATCGCCCACCACATCGGGACATATTGCGATGGTTTGATGTCGGCCTGGGTACAGTAAAATGGACTGATTGTGACTGTGGATTCGTCCAACACCGGTTGGAAGTCAAAGAGGCCACCGTCCATGACCCACTCGCCATTGAAGCGGAACGGAAGGCCGCAAATGGGGACTGCGCAGCACGACGCGTGGATCGATGTGGTCAAGTCTTCGATGCTGTCGAACACACTCTTCCGTCGGGATGTCCATTTGGAGATGGACGAATATACAATTACGCAACGCTTGGCTTGTTCGAGGGCTCCGGGGCGATCAAAGTTTCCCCACATCTGCAGCGCTTCGTCCAGGTACTCTCGGACACGGAACGCATTGCGAATCGACGATCTAGCCGTGGGGGCCATGTCCTTGACAACCCCCCGCACCATCTCATCGAAATCGTTGTCGAGGCACAACGATAAGGCTGCAAGGGATCCGCCAGATGTACCCAGCATCGTTGCATCTCGATGCAAGTCCATGTCTTGGAGGGCTCGGCCCACGCCAAAGAGGTAGCTCTTGAGCCAGCCAGAGCACGCAAACGAGTAGCTTTGTGGCAACAGGACCTTGGAGTGTGCATGGGTCGCTGCGTCGGCATTCGTGTCGGAGCACATTGCCGCGGCGGCCACTGCAGATGTTCCCGACATCGTGTTGTGGAATGGGCGCGCTTTGCCGAGGCGTTTCAAGTTGTAGGAGGTAGACCATTCTGATTGGTCGATGCAAATATTCTGAGCCATCGGATTGGCCAACTGGAAATTCTAACGATCGGATTGGCTGAAAGGATGACGTCATCTCCGGGCAAATTTGCATCTCTGGGCGAGCGCAGAAATGCACCAATCCGAAGCGCCAAAGTCACGAATTCGAATCCAAACTATCTTGAAGCTCGAATTCATCGTGTGACGTAGGGCGCGTCATGATCAACATTGCGTAGGCTACTATGTTGAATTGTATGCATACTACTTGAGGTTAGTACGCCACTGCGACGCGTTAACGTGGACAGTGGACCTGCACAAGATGGAGGTGTGATACTTGTGTCAAGGGCTCGGTTCCACACACCTGACTCCCTGCCTTGTATGGATTTAACCATTCGGCCTCGAATTATAAACTA